TTATCTCTTATATTACAGTTTCTTATGAAGTTTTAAGACCCGGGGAGGAGAGATGGGAAACTTTTTGACACAATCTATGAATTTCTATTTTTTTCATAATTTGTTCTAAATTTCAAACTGCTCACTTTTATCAAATGGTCTTGTCTTTATGCGCTAAGTGTGGTGAAATACTGAGTAACCGGGGTGGCAATATCTCGCAGTGCGAGGCTTGTGATAGATTTTTCCATCAGCACTGTACTTAGTTGTGCGCAGCGACTCAACGGTGGCGCGTGACATTATTTTGGAGCGTTCTGGGAAGCTTACTGGGAAGACGACGAGAGATATCTTTAAATGTGGTTTGGGTAATCCCGTCTCCATCTGCCAACTGTTACCCCAGCCGATCCACAATCTTTTTGTGAAGGCGCTTGCGCGTAGTCGCGAGCTGGGTTTCGCGGGCTCTTTCGTCTTGAGTATGGTCATCCACATGCAGGAATACACGCGTTCCACCCCTATCCCTATAATGTCGGAGAGCGATCTTGACTGTTGTACGCCTTTGCTCCCGGTCAGCCTCCTGTCCCATCTGCTCCGCGCTCTACTGCCATGTCAGTGGCTGCCACCGCGATCGGCACTCGAGGACACGAACCGCTCAACCTCAACTTCGCGCCCCAGGTTGTCAAACAGCGACCCACTGCCGTCATCCCAAAAAAATCTGCTCCACAACTTAACATAACCGACGGTTGTTTTAGCCTAACAGTGTCTATTTTTCCAGCTCAGCTATCTGAAGCGGTCCCAAATCCATCTCCTCCAGTTTCTGGTCCATGATGCCAGCTAAGCCAGGACCATACCCCGCCCTCTGCTTCCTTCGTTATCAGCTACATCAGTATAAATAGATTAAATTCCCCCTGTCACTTTACTCTTCTCGAAGCACAAGCCTTTTCTATATATTTTGACGTCACAGCCATTACTGAAACCTTCTTCTCACCTGATATCTCTCACTCACACTTCTTCCTCCCCGATTTCAGTTTTTTTAGTTTTTTCAGACCGAATTGGAAAGCGGGTGGTGGGGTTGGCCTGTACGTCAGATCTCATCTTAAATTTAGTTTTCTAGTTACTTCAGATTCAGTTTTTGATAACACACCCAAATTCATCCTTAGCGAAATAAAGTCCAACAAGACCAAGCTTTTGATGGCAGTGGTATACAGACGTCCTTCTGCATGCTCTCCCACACATTTTTTCTACTGCCTGGCCACTTACCTCCCCCTGTACGGAAATGTCATCATTACTGGTGATTTTAACGCCGACCTGAGTTCTGGCTCTCTGCCTGATGCTCGAGCTTTGAGATTTGTTGTCGGCTTACACAACCTCCACATCGTATCCGCTGATCCCACACATCACTGTCTCGATATAAATCCCCCTTCCCATACTACAGTTAACCTCTTTATATAGTGAAAGATCCTAATGCCATCCAGAACTTTAGAAAATCCGATACTTCCTTTATTGCTGGCCATGATTTTATCTCGCTCACCTATAGTTTCACCACGAACAAGCACGTCACCAGAGTCATTAGGTCCCGCAGTTTAAATCGGGCAGACGAAGAGGCCTTAAATGAGACCATCAGCAGCCTTCTCTCGTGTCTGGTTGACTAATCTCCAGTACGATTGAAGCGCTCTTCGGACCCGCCGATGGATGCTGACCTGCATTTCCTTGACAACTCGGTGCACTCTCTTGTCGTACTGAAGTCCTTATAAAGTCCTTTGACGCGATAGCTCCTCTTAGGTACATCAAGTTGTCTTTTAGGCGTAAACCCTGGGTGACTCCGAGCATTCTCACTCTCGTGAAAAGGCGTGACGCTGCCCATAAACTGGTATCCTCCTCCCGTTCGGTCAGTGACGTCGCTGGGTATCGAAGACTTCGAAATGAAGTCTCAAATGCTCTCGACTCAGCAAAAAATTCCTGCATCTCAAGCAGGCTGTCCTCCGCAAGTACTAGTAAGGCCAGATGGAGCGAATTATGAAACTTAGGAGTCGCTAAGCGCGCTCTTCCATCCCCGTTTCGATCTTTTCCCCCAGTCGCACTAATCACCCACTTTGCCAACATAGTCAACTCGTCTCCTCCCATGACATGTGACTTTTTTGACGCTCTTTTAGCGAGTCCCCCAAGTGTTCCTCACGCCCACTCCCCAATCGAATTTCGTGAGATTAATAGCCAGGAGGTTATATATACACTAAACTCTTCCTCATCTAGAACATTCGGTCCCGATGGTTTGTCTGTCAAGATGCTTAAACTCGTCTCTTCTATTTCTCTCTCGTCTCTCACGTATCTTGTCAACAAATCATTATCGTGCGGCATTTTTCCGACCTCCTGGAAACGTTCTCTCATCATCCCTCTTGCCAAAGTACCTTTGCCCGGTCTTTTATCGGACATCATACCGATAGCAAGGTTATCCGAGGTATCAAAGGTGTTTGAGAGGCTCGTTCATGCACAACTTTCGTCCTATCTAGACTGCTGCAAGTTGCGTGATTCACAGCAGGCCGGTTTCGTGAGGTTTCACAGCACTCAAACTGCACTTCTGGGTGTTCTTGATGACATCCGCAGGGCCAGTGAGCAGCGTAAAATCACAATCCTTGTCCTGCTGGATTTTTCCAAGGCTTTTGACGTTATTCCCCATGGTCGTCTGATGGTCAAGCTCAGGGACCTATGCCTGTCTGTTACTGTTTTGAGATGGTTTTTTAGCTCTCTGACTGACAGGTTTCAGGCTGTTGTGGGGAAGGACGGCAGGGTATCGGACTGGCTCAGGGCTGCCACTGGAGCGCCGCAGGGTAATATTCTGGGACCATTGTTATTTGAAATTTATATCTCGGACCTGCCCTCTGTCCTCTCCTTCATGAATTATATGCTTTATTCCGAAGACATGCAGGTCTACCTTCACTGTCATCCCGACAGCCTTGCGGAGGCTTTAGAGAGGGTGCAGCTTGATGTACAGGCTATAGCAGACTAAGCCCTAAGAATCGGCATCTCTCTCAACCTCACCAAGACTAAGGTCATGATACTAGGCACCGAAGAGTACGTTAGGGCTATAAAATTGAACGACATCGCGAAAACCACCATTAACGAGATTCCACTCGATTATGTTACCAGTGCTAATAACCTGGGCGTAATACTGACTCCCACGCTAAATTGGTCCGAACATGTCAGAATCGTGACGAGAAGTGCATACGGCTCTCTGGCTTCACTCCGTTTCCACAGGAAATCTCTCTCAACTACCCTTAGAAAAGTTCTTGTCGAGCAGCTCATTTTCCCACATTTCGACTATCTCTCAGTGGTCTGTATTCAGTTCGATGGAGAGCGCTCGTCTAAGCTTCAAGTTGCCCAAAATGCCTGCGTACGCTTCGTTATAGGATGGATATCATATATACCTACTCTATCCCTAAATAGCCATATCACCCACCATAGATTAGCCCTAGACTGGCTATCACTTACCCCGAATAGGTATAGTGCCCTCGCCTTTCTGGCCTACTCTGCTGTGTCCAGAAAATCGCCACACTATCTAGCTAAAAACCTGTCAGTCCTGCTTGATAGTGTCATTATCCGGCGCTCCGGTCGCCATCCACAGTCGGCGTTTGAATACAAAGCCGCTCGAACTGAAGCCTGAAAACATTCTTTTGTGATCCTTGCACAGAGAATACTCAATTCATTGAGCGTGACCTTGTTCTCCACCGATCGAATCTCTGTCTTCGAGGATTAGACATGTGATCTGTTTTTGAATTATGAGGCTAGAGCATGGATTGAGAGGGCGACTCGCGAAAAACTAATGCCAGTGCCGGCACTATGCAATTACATTCGTGTACCAAACAAGGTCAATCCAGACGCGTTCTCCCAAAATTATCCATTCTCCCACAAATACCCTTCTATAGATCTTTGGTTCATTAAATAGCTAATTAAACTTGGTTGTTTTTTAGTCGAATGCACGTTGCTCCACTTTTACACCTCCCTCCTTTCAGTCCGTTTTCTGTAAAATAGGTGCCATCGCCCTTTTATTGCTTTTATTATTTTTATTTTTATTATTTTTTACTATTTTTCTTATTTTTATTATTCTTATTATTTTTATTATCTTTATTACTTTTATCTTCTTTATTATTTTTATAACTTTTATCATTTTTATTATTTTGCATCTTTTATTATTGTTATTTTTGTTGTTTTATCTGTTATTTTAATTATATTGTTGTTATATATTTTTATTTTACTATATTTTACATATTTTATTCTATTTTTCATTTTTATATACATATTCTGAGTCATCTTTCTGTTATTGCTATTGTAAACTCGCTGCTCATCGTACATACAATTCACGCATTTCATCTAAATTCATCTTCTTTAAAAAGTTAAATGCGTTAATATTTATTCTTACATATCTCCTTTTGTCATTTTAAAATTTTGTTATTGTTTGATTTGTATATTTTCTAAACTGCCAGATGGGGTTCTACCTCATTGGCGCAATAAACGAACTAATCTAATCTAATCTCACACATACTCCGTTTGCACCCCTTTATTTTGTTTATAAAAATATTGTACTCTCTCTTAATTCTCTTTCGATTTCTTTTGTATTTGCACTTAACTCTTCGCATTCCCAATCCTTTTTTACTACGTTGCAGCTTGAAATTTTGCGTTTTCAGCTACGATAATATGATGCACGACAGCCTCCCCATGGCCTCAGCATGGCCCACTTCGTATCAGAGTGTTTTCTCCTGACGATCAATCAAAATCATTTATAAATTATAGCAGGTACATTTCGTCTCCTGAATCACCGTTATAAACTAAAATATAAATTTTACCATCAAGAAATAATATGTTTGAAAAAAGTTATCATGCGATTTTAAATGGCTCATCTTGAATGCTTTTTTTTAATTTCATCTTCTAATTTTCATATCGATAGTATTAAATAAGTTATGATATAGTATAATAGTTATGATTTAATAATATAATTGAGTGACTAAAGACCGTTATTTGAAATGTGTCTATAGGCAATTGGCGAAGAATTAAAAAATAAATAGATCTTTATACAATAGTTGGTACCAAATGAAGCAACTAATGGAATCAGGTAGCCACGCAGAAAGTTGCCTGGGGCGCCAAAAAGATAGCAGCTGATTGCCGGTACTTGAGTAATGAGCGAATCCCGGCATCTTCGCTCGGTCTCCGATTTATACGCAGCCGATGAAATAGAGGTTCTCCTCCTTGAGGAGATTCGCGACCTGGAGCCTCCACTAGCCGCCTATTCACGTCCTGAAGATATTCAGGACTTTGAAATAGGTGAGTTTATTTTATTGTAGATATAAATTTAAGCACTTATTTGTAAAATCATTAACAAAATATTTTTCACACTTTTTGCATATTATTTTTTTACAATACTGACGTTTAAATTCTCTAGACTTAATATATAATGCATTAAGTCTCAATTTTCTTATATATTTACTAGTCGCTGTTTCAGCCGTTTACAAGTCAAGCAATGATATAAAAACAAATTACTGTTTTCTATAACGCCATTTGCCAATACTTCAATAAACTAGTTCACGAATATATCCAATTTAGATAAGTTCATTGAATTATATACACATGGCACAATTAAAAATAGTAGTTGCTTTCATATCATTGCTGATAACTTGAATTTGGCTGAAGCAGCGAATACCCAGAAAATAAGAAAATTCACAGACATGACGAATTGTTATGTATTCTGTATGTGGAAGCTAATTTACGCGTAAATTAAATCAGTACCAATATAGAAAACAGAGTTTGAGTATGTTGAAAGTAATTTAAATTATGATATAAATTATCTTCTTAAAAATGCAAAACAATCAAAGACATAAGTTTTAATTGTCGAAAAGTTCTTAGTCAAATTTCTACTTAAGTTCTCATCTAAGAACTTATGCCATATAATAATTTAATTTCGCGCTAGTATATCTTATATATAAATTTCATAATTCTCGTCCCCTTGGCTGTCTTACAATCTGGGTAATACCGAAGGCTGAAACCCAACATGTCGCATTTCGTGCATTGCAGGAGTTTCAAGTAGTCATTGTACCACCGTGATGCTTGGGCCGATTTGGCTTTGGTATTGCCTTCATTAACCGGCCTACTTCCTTTGTTGGCGGCTGGCTTGTTCTTGGTACTGCTATTGCATGATCTGTCTGAGGGCTGCTCGATCTGCTCTGTCAATACCGGGGAGATCGATTTACTGGCGGCCACCGCCACCTACGGAGCTGCTGGTGAGTTTCTTACTTCCTTAACTTCGGTAGTCGAAGCCGAAACTTGATATTTCTTGTCTTGAATCCCACTAAAAGATGGTCGGTTAGCTTAATCAGGAAATAGAATAGCTCAGGGCACTAGAAGGATTCTCTTTTGAGAAGCACATGCAAGGTTGTTTTGTATCTCCGTTACTAGATTACTCAACTCTCTTACTGAAATCAGTTCCTTTTGATATAGTTTTATATCTTTGATAGGAGTTTGGTATACATTAACTCCAGAAGTTCTATTGTTAGCATCGAAGGGTGAATCTTATTGACCATCGCATTGTCTGGAACTTTGTCAGATATATTTTTATTAGATCATCTAGAACCTGGTACTTGGTGTGGGCTTCTCTTTTTGACCTTTACTGCTACTAGACGCTCATGCTAAACGTATGAATTCTCCGATATTCTGCACGAAGTTTTCGTAGAAGATTTAGTCCCTGTTGTTATTCCCGTACCATACTTGGGCTAAGTCTGTCAGTACGTTTTACAATCCAAGCAATATCTTTCCAACTCTGAACGTATATTCTTGATCACCATATAAAAGCTCGCTTTTGATTTTGAACAGGATCGAACATATAACGTTAGCTTTATGAAATTTTATTCGCCACAATCGAATTTCAATGCGTTTTTCTGATTTTTTAGATTTCATGTCTTTACCTCGCATTCGTACGTTCTTAAAAATAACATTTTTAAATCGCGTTGATTTTTTTATAAAATCATTTTAATATAAAAAAAATTGGATACAAAACAGTTTTGTTATTCTTGACACTCTCCATTTTGTTAAGCAAAATTCTTTTAAACCAATTTTAGAGCCAACCCGTTGTGAAAAAAATAATAATCAAACAATCATCTCAGGTTACAACACGTGTGTTTCGTTGGTAAATATCCAACCTCATCAGATCTTTATTAAAAAAACAAAACGAGAAAATGGTTACAATAACAGATATAAACCAAAAACAAATAAAAATCACGCTAACAAAACATTTACCTCAATTCGCAAGTCACAATCAAATTAAATATCACAATAAAGTCAAAAATACACTGTCAAACATAATATTCGCTCAACTACACAAAATTCAAATCGGACAACGACTATGAAATAATGCAAATCAAAACAGTGTCTGTTGCCTTTTATACCAAAACAAACCACCGGTAGACACAATCAGATGTATCCCCTCTCCTATGCATGAAAACGGTACATTAAGCATCATTGTACATCAAAACAAAATAATAAAAAATATATTGTAAATAAATATGAGATCAGTCAGCTAAGATATAAAATAAACCTTTATATTGTTTACTCAGTAAACTAGTGTCTTCTTGTCTATTTATAGTGTTATAAGACAAATTAATATAAATCATTTCCGAAATTAATCTCTTACAATAGTTAGACTCTCTATCTAAAATTATTGTGTTGTCCCAGTCAAACGAATGTGTAGGATAATTTTTCAAATGCATCGGAACCGGAAGAGATTTATCTAAAGGTGTCTTCCTATGCTCCTCTATGCGTTTTTTTAAACATCTCTTAGTTTGACCAATATATACAGACGGGCAACTATCACAACAAAATTTGTATACTACATTTGTCTCATTCCATTTTTCTGTAACATCTTTACCCAGTTTTATTATGTTGTCCAGCTTATGATTAATTAAAGGTATACAATGAATATTAAACTTTCTTAAACTATGGTTACATAAGTTAAAAAATTTTTTATGAAAAGGCAACGTTAAAACCATCGATTTGATATTCGTATTTTTTCTATCATCCTGAGTACCACTACTATTCCAAAATCTATGTTTACGAATGCGATCCAATATACATGTTTTAAAAAATTTATCCGGGTAATCATTATTTTTTAAAATGCTCTTAACAATTTTTATATTGTCTTCATGAAAAGTTGCATCAGATAGTAATAAAGATCTATCAATCAGATTATATACAATGTTTCTTTTTTGCTGAGTTGTATGGTTAGAATAAAAATTCAAAATTCTGCCTGAACAAGTCGGTTTTTGGTACCAATTAGTAACAATTTTACCGTTTTTGATTATTAACGAAATGTCTAAAAAAGTTATACTATTATTGTATTGGATTTCATGTGTAAAATTTAAATGATTATTGTAATTATTAAAAATGTCAAAAACCAATTGCAAATTATCCCTTTTCATACATAAAATAGTGTCATCTACATATCTAAAATAAAAAAGTGGTGAACAATTATATTTTTCTCGCAAAACATTTAAACAATCTGTCTCCAAATCATCCATAACTAAATCAGCAAACAACGGCGATATTGGAGAACCCATCGGTGTACCAAAAATCTGTTTGTAAATTATTCCATCAAACTGGAAAAAAGTATTATCAAACAAAAACTTTACCGTATCAACTATTTCAGTAAAAGGTATCTCCGAAACAGAGTGAATCTTGTTAAATCGCCTATCAAGACTCTCAATGACTAAATCACACGGAACGTTTGTAAACAAAGAGCTGACATCTAATGAAATTAACATATAATCTGACGGAACTGTTATGTTCAGAAGTTTTTTTATAAGTTGAAAACTATTATCAATATGTGAAAAAGGCCGTAAATTACATTTTTTTAATTCTTTGATAATACTTTTTTCCAGTTTGATGGAATAATTTACAAACAGATTTTTGGTACACCGATGGGTTCTCCAATATCGCCGTTGTTTGCTGATTTAGTTATGGATGATTTGGAGACAGATTGTTTAAATGTTTTGCGAGAAAAATATAATTGTTCACCACTTTTTTATTTTAGATATGTAGATGACACTATTTTATGTATGAAAAGGGATAATTTGCAATTGGTTTTTGACATTTTTAATAATTACAATAATCATTTAAATTTTACACATGAAATCCAATACAATAATAGTATAACTTTTTTAGACATTTCGTTAATAATCAAAAACGGTAAAATTGTTACTAATTGGTACCAAAAACCGACTTGTTCAGGCAGAATTTTGAATTTTTATTCTAACCATACAACTCAGCAAAAAAGAAACATTGTATATAATCTGATTGATAGATCTTTATTACTATCTGATGCAACTTTTCATGAAGACAATATAAAAATTGTTAAGAGCATTTTAAAAAATAATGATTACCCGGATAAATTTTTTAAAACATGTATATTGGATCGCATTCGTAAACATAGATTTTGGAATAGTAGTGGTACTCAGGATGATAGAAAAAATACGAATATCAAATCGATGGTTTTAACGTTGCCTTTTCATAAAAAATTTTTTAACTTATGTAACCATAGTTTAAGAAAGTTTAATATTCATTGTATACCTTTAATTAATCATAAGCTAGACAACATAATAAAACTGGGTAAAGATGTTACAGAAAAATGGAATGAGACAAATGTAGTATACAAATTTAATGTACCGTTTTCATGCATAGGAGAGGGGATACATCTGATTGTGTCTACCGGTGGTTTGTTTTGGTATAAAAGGCAACAGACACTGTTTTGATTTGCATTATTTCATAGTCGTTGTCCGATTTGAATTTTGTGTAGTTGAGCGAATATTATGTTTGACAGTGTATTTTTGACTTTATTGTGATATTTAATTTGATTGTGACTTGCGAATTGAGGTAAATGTTTTGTTAGCGTGATTTTTATTTGTTTTTGGTTTATATCTGTTATTGTAACCATTTTCTCGTTTTGTTTTTTTAATAAAGATCTGATGAGGTTGGATATTTACCAACGAAACACACGTGTTGTAACCTGAGATGATTGTTTGATTATTATTTTTTTCACAACGGGTTGGCTCTAAAATTGGTTTAAAAGAATTTTGGATACAAAACAGTTTTATTGATTTCAAAACACATAGTTATTGCAAAATATATCACCAAGCAGAAGGCTATGGTAAAAGCTAATTACTGGTTCAATAGATTTCAATTGTAGCATTGATTATTTCTGTATTTTTGAGTAATTTTTAAGAGCATCTCTACGTGTGTACGATAGATGTCGAAATTTTATTTGAAATTTTATTTGCTTA